GTATTATTATTACTAACACTGGATTTGTCTTCTAACTTTTTAAAGTTTTCAGAAAAAATTCAAACATGTGTAAGGTGTAAGAAATGATATGTTGCATCTGAAATGGCGGTATGTCTAGAGTAGCAGCAACTTCATATATCTGAAGTAGCACTGACTAAAATTATATTACTTAATATAAATATGAAAATCTGATTTCATGGGGCGAGGTACCACTTCTGATATCTGAGTGAGGTTACTGCTACTCCAATAGATCGCTACTCTGGACGCAACAGACATAACTAAAGATATAGAAGATATGAGATTTTGTTGATATATTTTAAAGATATAGGAGATATGATATTTTGTTGATATATTCTAAAGATATGAGATTTTGTTGATATATTCTAAAAATATAGAAGATATGAGGCTTGCTGATATATTAAAACAATACAAATTTCCTTTTATATTTTCTTTTTTTGTTTAATCTTTGCCATGATCTCCACAGGACACTCGCTGGCGTATTATTTATTTATTTATTTATTAACTCATTATAATTAATGAGACCTTTCTAATTTGTAAGATTTTCTGCATTTAGGAATTTACATAAGTTAATGACTAGCTATTTAACGATTGTTATTTAAATTCTGAGTTGCAACTTACTGATAATATCCTAACATCGACAGGAATTTTCCCGGAGGCGGCCTAATTTTTTACCGGAAAAATTCTCTTTTGGGGAGTTTCTTGATTTTCAACCGGAATTTCACTGGAAATATCCTTATTTTAAACGGCTTCCTCCAAGTTAAATGTGGTTAATCTTCAATCGTGATCCTTGTACGAATTTCTTCCTCCAGCATGGCTCGAACCAGCAATCTTATAATTGATACTCAGGAATTGATCCGGGGCTACAAGCCAAAGTTGTTAACAAATGAGTTATAATTTAATATTAATAATAGACTTTTTTGAACGATATATAATACCAACTAACTACAATTACGATAAAACACTGTCCAAGAATTTTATTATGTGAGGTTGTTTATAAGATACGTACGTACGTACGTACACACTTAGTTCCTCTTCAATGTTACACAACAATCTTATCGGTTAAATTTGATGATCATCTAATTATAGGTTCGGCAAATCAAAGTCAATCATATATATGAACAAAAATAAAGAATAATTCTTTCGAAGAATGAATCGCCATTAACTATGTACAGTATATTAAGTTACCGTTACCGAATGTTTGTAACGTGTATTCATAACACTATATTTGGTTACCTACAAAGGTGTTGTTTTACCGATTCTACAAATATTGATAAATATTGATTTATGACTTTTTAAAGAATTGTGGCCAAAATACTCATGTGGGTACCGAAATTGAAATCCGGGAAAGATCGAGAATCTTTTGACAATGATATTGAACGTTACTGCAAATGGCTATATGTTTTCCAATTTGAACTAAAAAAAAGGAGTTCTTTATATAAAAAGATACCTTATCATTATAGTTTGCCAATGTAGTAGAACCAGCTGACTTCCTAATAAACAAACAAAGAATAAATAAAGCACCCAATTGCTTCGCGTTACGTGTGCCTTTACAACAATTATATAGTATATTATAATTTTTTATATAAATAGAATTCGAAAGTTTGATTCAAAAGTTGAGTCCTTCAATAATTATCTAAAATTTTCAAAAATGCCTTACTACAACATTCCTGCCAAAAGAATTCTTTCAACTTCCACTTATAATGACATAACTCTCAGTATTGTCCAAGATTATTTAAATTATTATTACATTGAAGTCATTGAAGTCAAGTTAATGCGTTTTACTATTAGTGATACTTTCACGGTTCCGAATGTCAATGAAGTAATAAATTTTCAAAACGGTTCGACTGTGTCTCCAAATTGTTTTATTCTTTTTAGAAGAGAGGTACAAACTCGCATTTCGGACAAAGGTTTACGCATAGGAAGGACTACTTTATCTAAACTCTTAAGTGCTATTTGGAAAGATTTAAGGGAAAATGAGCCAAATCTCGTGAATTCGTTTAAAGCCGTAGCAAGCAATGCAGCAAGAATTTTTTGTGGAAGAAGATTGCGTATTCGACACGTTCGAGGCTCTCGCATTAGATGAGATGAATATTGTTACAAATTACTGGCTACATT